GTGGTATGAAAAACATCCCCAGTCAAATGACATGTTTTGTTGACTGGCTTAGTGAAAATAAACTCCACATTTCTCCATTGGGAACAAACTTAAATATAGCAATTTAATCGTCTTTGCTGAGTTTAAAATATTGGGAAAAAAAAAAATATATAAAATGTGCCATAACTTTTGCACTGGCCATATTTTATGTCCCCCTCCCGTATGTTAAATTCAGCAAATGAATAGTAATTGTGCATTAAAATGTGCAAAAGTTTGTAGAAGATTTGTTCACTTACTTTTACTTAGAAACTCAATGTAATCCAGTTTAGTTTCCATATATATACCATATGGACTAAGAAGTGAATGGTATGTTTTGAAACTTTTAACAACATTTGCATGCTATATCAAACTGACCTTTCTGCAAAAAGAGGTTAGACCCCTCATCTTATAAAAAAGAGTTAATATAATGGACATTCTTGATCTGATCAAATCTTAAAACTTCAGAAAACACTGTTACAGCAAAGCAAAATGTTTACCTCGCTGACTACTGGCAGCTCTGTGGGGGTGCTGCTAAAAAGAGAGCAAGTTTAGCTTTCCAAGTAAAGTTCAATGCTAGGTCTGTGCGTCAATGAAAGTCAGAGGGGAAAATGTGCGATATTCTTTTTTTAAAACGTGAACCAAGGTGAAAATCTCCCACTAATTTCTCCTGTACCTTCCATCAACACCAGGAGTGCAAATTTGGTCTGACAAGTGGGGGCGGACCAGTGTCAGGAGGCTACAGCTTACATAAAGCAATTTTAGTACAAAACTAGGTAAACAAAAAAGCATGCCTCAAGTTACACTTATCATATTGATATCTCAAGCTTTATATGACAAAATTAAAACACAAAAAACACATTATTGTTAACAGGAATATTACACATTCAGCACAAAGTCTATTTTATTGCTTATTTTAATGGCATTTTTTCTTTCCATTGTGTCAATAAAATTAGACTGATCTGCCTGTCAAAAATTTTAGCAAAATTCCCCAATAATCTTGGGCAATTAAAATCACAGGCTTACCTAAGCTGAAGCCCATGGGCCTCTGAATGGCAATCATTTCATGAGATTTATTTATTCCCCTCCACCACCTGGACCTACTCAGACTGATCACATGCTTACCCAATGAAATGGGGAAAGAATACTTTAATAAGCCGAATTTTTTTAAGATAATGAAATTGATTTGTTTTCCGTGAGTGCTGTCACTATATTATGGCCAAATAAATCATACACACTCTGCCAAACTCTGCCTTCTTTTCCTCAGCCCAGCAATCACTGTGCAGTGTTTGTATTTGAAGCTTCAGTTGTGGTTAAAAGACGAAACTAGTGTTTTTAAAAGTGAGATTTCGTCCTGTAGAGTATGTCATTTTCCACCTATCCAAAGCCAGAATTTGGTATTTAAAATGCTTTTTTACTACAAAAAAGCTAAAATGGACCTTGTGAAAATGTCCAAGCAAACATCTAACTTTACTTCAACATATCAAAGGTAAGACATGAATGGACCATGAACATTTTCCATGCGTGCCATGGCAGTATGTTTTTGCCCATGTTTTTGTCTTCGATGATTAGTTTTAGGTTTTAAGTTTGCTGTGTTGTTTCTCCCACCTTTGTGTCTGTTTTTAACTTGGCTAGTTATGGCATCTGGGCAAATGTGTTTGTGGTGAGTGGATGCATGGTTTACAGTAAATGGTACTGCAGTGTTGCTTTTTTTTGAACATCAATTTGAATACATTTAGCTAAAAGGCATGAGTGAGGCTGAAACTGGCTTCCTATTGACCAGCTCTTTATTTGAACTTTTTGTTCCAACAAAAAAAATTGAAAAAGAGGACAAAATTCAGCCTCATTTGGGAACAGACTTCCTTCTTGGAGCAAATTTCCAATGATGACCAACTATGGCTTTTAGTGGTCTGGTTCTGTATGCACTTACACACCCAGACCCTACCCCCCATCCCTCTTTGAATTTGCACCATTGATCAACACTGATTTTAGAACGTAGTTTGGATATGAACGTAATGCATGATGACATGCACGGCACATATTAACAATCTGACTGGCTATCACCAGCAAAACTGCTTGCATAAAGCTAAGAAAAACTCCACATGCTTCACACTGCTTCTGCTCCCACAATCCCCCACGCAAAACTGCCGTATATCTCCACAGAAATGAATGAGGGGCCAAATGAAAATCACTTCGTTTGTGTACATAAACAGATGAGGAGGCCTGTCCATCATACCACAGAAATGAAGTAAGAACTGCAGGAAAGTGTTGATTTATGGTAATATTTATTTAATGAGATCCATCTTTCACAGACATCCGAGTCTGATTATGCAACTGCTCCTCTTTTCATCCTATATGACCAGTTTTGGTAAGTGTTGTTTTCTGTTTTCTCATTTGTGTCCCACCGGATATTCAGTATGTGCTTCTGCTCCCTTTCATTTCCTTCTATATACAAACATTAGTCTAGGTATCCTTATGAGGACTTCCAATGACTTCTGTATTACCGTAGCCATGTAATACTACACCCGCATAATCAAGTTATAGGCTCCTAGGCACTAATACTGGGTGGGTCCCTTTTTTGCTGGTCAGGAATTTTTTTATGATATCTCATTAGGTTATACGAAGGCTGAGCAGCACCATGACCAAGCTGCATAGTTTGAGGCTTATGTTACACAAAACTAAAATAAGTTTACCTATGTGGCCCTGGAAACAAATCTCTTTGACTAAATCTTACTGTCTAACATGAAAGTTTTGAGTAAAGTTCAATAATTTGTCATTTATTTGTTGTTGTTTAGAAGCAACAGTGTTGACCAGCACTAGTTACGTAAAGAAAAATGGCAAATTACCAAACAAAAAAAACACAATAGAAGAATTACACACATTAACAAGAACACAGGTTAACATAAACCCTACAATCAGTGCAACACTTCCTTACATAGCATGCACTTGACAAGCACATTTACCCCAATGGAAATGATATAAGCTACAATCTTACAAAAACAACACCAGCAAACTTAAAAAAGGAAATTATAGGCATCCTAAGCTGAAACATACCGCCACTGCGGGCAGTAAGAAATGTTTATGGACAACTTATATTTTACCTTTGATGACTTTATGCGCAGATGTAGCCAATTTGCTAGCTCACTGCTAAAAATCTGAAAGCTTGTTCTGAACGTTAATGGCAGATATTAGAACAGTTGCTAAGCAGTGATGGGAGGAGCAAATGGACATTTAGAAATGATGGAGAGCTTCAGGATTATGATCGACCATAATACAATGACAAGGGTGAAATTAGTTAATTACTTACTTTTTTTCACTATGCTTTTTTCACTAGTTCTCACTGAGTTAAGACAGCTTAGATTTTGTTATAATTGCTAATGGGGGCCCCTAGTGGTTTGGACCCTTGCATGTGCCCATAAACCAATGGGATGATCTGTGCCCGGTAATACCCAAACCTAACCCTAACTCTAACCTTACCCTCAGTAACCAAACGCAATGTTTCTGAGTTTTTTCCAAAATAAAGTTGAATTAGTGGTGAAAAGTGAGGCTGTGCTATCATTTGACATTTGGTCCTCAGAAGGGTAGCAAGACAAATACAAACACACCCACACCCCACCACCACTTGCTCTTTACAGTTCTACCCCTATAGCTCTGATTAGCATGCTAATCATGGGCTCCTTACATACATATGTGTGTGTGTGCGTGTGTGTAGGTCCCAAGAGAAACGGAAAGTGGAACTGTTATGAGCAACTAATAGCGCGACTGCTTTTATGCATCATCTGTCGCCTGAAGCCATTTCTTTTTCCCCGCACACACACATCTCTCTCCCTCTCTTGCCCGCCCGCTCGCTTGTAGGTTCGTAATAATACTGGTTTTCAAGCTCTCCCACACATACACTCACACATGCAAATAAGTAACCCCAACACGACTTTGTGTCAGTGCTCACAACAATGTAATCTAGATTAGAATCTATTGCAGTCCTAAGTCCTATTGCAATTCAGTGTTACTTTAACACCCTGAATCACTGAGAACATTACCTGATACAAGCCGAACAGAATTCAAATACTGACGGCAATCGTCGCCTATCGTCTCCATCACAAGTACAACCTTGTATCTCGCAGCAGAATGAAAGAAGAGCTCACATCCTACAATTTTATTGCATTTTTCCCTTTATTTTTTTCCCCAAACCAGTCAATTCATATTCACATTACCCTTTCCCAACTTTTCTCCCTTAGAATTACACAGGCTGTTCTTGCTATTCTGCCTTTATATTACCCCTTATCTGATTGGCTGCCCTCATTCAAAGAGTAGTCCGAGCTGAAACATTCTATAACTTTAGTGTGAATTGCTTAGTTTTTGTATATGGACTGTATAGACTGGGACGTAAAAAGTACGAAACCTTAAGTTCTATCTCCTTTCTGTTGCCCCCCCCACCGAACACTGATTCAGACATTTTGAATTGGTATGATGATAATGTAAAATTTTATTCTCCATAACTCTGCAATCAGATTAACTAGGATGCTGTTGGCTCTCTGTTGTGTCTGTGTTGAGCTGCTGGTGAGCAATGAGAGGTGAAAGGGAAGGGGTGAGAACCCTTGCTGTGAAAACCATTTATATCTCTCCACAAACAGAGCTGTGCCCTTTCTTCCCCCTCACCCTCTCTTCTTATCCCCCTATTTCTCTCTCTCTCTCCCCTCTTTCTATTTCTCTCTCACCCTATTTTTTCTCTCTTTTTCTTCCCCTTCCCTCTTTCTATTTCTGTTCCAAACTTCTGAATGGGTTTCTTACTCAAAGTGAGAGAGGGAGCGGTGAGTGGTGGTGAGTGTTGAGGGTTTATGTGCATTTATTGAAGTAAAGGTGCACCAGGCCGAGTATGTTTGCATAAGAGAAATGTTGAGTGAGAGACCGTGCGTCAGCGTGTAGAGATAGTGTAGGGGGAAGAGTGTGTGTGTGTGTGTGTGTGCGCGCGTGAGTGACTCACTCACCGTCCAGCCCCCTCCGTCTGTGCTCATATCACAGTAGACCTGAAAGCCTGCGGGGTAATGAGTGGGAAAAACAGAGTAGATGCCATCTTCACGCTGACCACTCGCATGTATATCACTACAGTCACGAGGACGAGAGCCTGAAAGAGAGAGAGGGAGAGAGAGAAAGAGAAAGAGATGAAGATGAGCAAAAGCATTATGACCACTCACAGATGAAGCAAATAGCATTGATTATCTCCTAACAATGGCGCATGTCAAGGTCTGTGATATATTAGATGGTAAGCAGTCGGTTCCCATGGTTGCTGTCTTGGTTGGGATATAAGAGGGCAGGCTAAAGACCTGAAGTCGGAGCATCTTCAAAAACGCAAGGCTTGCAGTGTGCTCCTATTCAGCAGTGAGGAGTGCCTACCGACAGTGGTCAAAGGAGGGAGTAACTATGAACTGGTAAAAAAATTGTTGGCACCCAAGGCTCCTTCATGTGCAAGGGCAACAAAGGCTTTTCTGTCTGATCTGAACCAACAAAGGGATACTGTGGAAATCACAGAAATTTTTAGCGATGGTTAAGGGACTAATGTGTCACAACACACAGTGCATCGCACCCTGATGTATATGGGGGTGTGTAGCCACAGACCAGTCAGAGTGTCCATTTCTTCATGTGGCCGACCAGTTACATCTGTGGTGTTAAAGTGGGGAAGTAATGGGATGCAGTTTGGGAAGAAGACAAGCTTGTGCAGGGAATGTGATGCTCTTGGCAATGTTCTACTGGGAAACCCTGGGTCCAGGTGTTCATGTGGGCATCAATTTGACACATGCCAACACCTCCCCAGGTAAACACCCCACACATAAGTGGTTGGCCACATGAAGAAATGTGCACACTGACCGGTCTGAGCTACAGGCACACCCCTTCAGGCAATGGTATTCCCCGATGCCAGTGGCCTCTTTCAAAAGGATAATGTATCACGCCACACTGCACAAATCATTCGGGAATGGTTTGAAGACTAGAGTTCAAGGTTGCCCTGGCCTCAAAATTCCCCAGATCTCAATCTGAGCAAGCATTTGTGGGATGTACTGGAACAACAAGTCCAATCCATAGCGGCTCCACCTCATAACTTCCAGGACTTAAAAGATCTGCCACACAAATAACATCTGGACAATGGTGGTCATGGGGTCAGAAACTGACCAATGATGAATGGGGGAGAGGATGGCTGATCAACTATGTAGCAACACAGGACATATAGTGTGCAATTGTATACCTACAAAATGACAAAAGTTAGGAGTTTGATAATATTTTACAATAACGATAGTTAATAAGGCATCTATTATAACAGACTTCACACTGACGCAATGAGTTTCTACTTCATAATTAATAAATAATATACTAAACAAAATTTAAATCCCAAATCCCAAGCCCAAGCCCAAAATAGAGATACAAGGGTGGAAAATAAAACAAAAATTATTAGTTTATAAAGCAATGGTCTACATATGTTTGTATTTGCCTACATTTTTCTATTACTTTATAATTCAGATATTATTCATTATTAATGAATATATTATGTGTTTACAAATGCATGTAAAAAATTCCATTAATGATTTTAGCTGTTAATACAATGTATCATTTCTAATATGCAACAAAAAATAATGCTAAAAACTTTAGGCTTTCAAATGATTTGGTCAACATTAACAAGTAGGAGTGATTTTCAAATGATGTATAAATGATGTGATCTAAAGTGAAATCTGTAATCTAAAGGGAGCAAATTCAGTATATATAAATATCTATTAATGCTCATAAGTCATTTATAAACGTCTTCTTATTTATCTTCTTCCTTATTAAGAAAAGGAGTCCATAAGCAACCTCAATAAACACTACTATCTATCCTGCCTCCATTTGTGACAGAAGACCTATGCCCGGTTACAGAAAATAGCTTAAGTTGAATTTTCCCTTAAGATAACCCTGAAGTATTTCCTAAGGTTAAGTGTGTTGCACAAAAAAAACCCTGAGCATTTTACTTCAGGGATTCCTAAAGTGAAATCCTAACATACCCTTACATTTTCCCTTAAGGATCGACTTTCCCTTAAATAATCCCTCAAGCGTTGCATAAATTTCTTTAACCATCATTTTCCATAGGTTAATTTAAAGGAAGGAAAACACTTCCTTAATGTTACTGGCCAGCGAGAGAAGCTGAAGATATTGCTGTGCTTTTGAGGTTTTTGGACAGAAGACTCTACCTGTGCAAGTTGTTTGTAAAAGAGAGAATTTAAAGCAAATAAAAAAATACTGAGCGGGCAAATTTGACCATAACTAAATGTATAAGCTATAGGGCAATGGAAGATGACCTCGCCCTGCACCTTTACCTGGTAAATACTGTTTTTTGACACATTTATATGAGTCCTATCAAAACTTCATGAATGTTAGTCAACATAGGGCTATGTGCTGCATGAAATAATGTCTTCAGAATAAGTTAAATGTACATGAAATATATAGATAAATATTTATTTCTATGCCAATAACACATGCTCAGACTCAGTGTTGTGGGATGTGTTAGCCCACCTAGACTTCACAGCAGCAGCCATGATGCCAAGAATTTTTTTTCAGCCACACAACACACCCAGCATATATCTTCGTTAAGAGAGAGATTTTATTTGAAGCTGTGAGAGAAGCTACTCTGCTCTGCTTCATCCCATATAGAGACTGATAAACATTGTAGTTGAACTTGGCTAATTTTGCCCAACTCCTTTGTCAGGAAAGTGGTTGACTGACATGCAAAACGGTCAACCAGTTGTGTGATTGTGTGTGAATCAATACGTCTGTTTGCATCAAGTGTATTAAAAATGTTCATGACACGCTTTCAGAGGAGTTTCCGCCTCAAGTGGGTGACATTCTTCATGTTTATGGTGTTTGTGTATAGGGTGTCCACCGAGTGGAAGTCGCTCTTTGTTGACAGCTAAACTAAGCAGTACATTTTTTAACTTGGCAGGAACAACAGGTTATCAACCTATTTTGGGAGAGTCAGTTTGTTTCAGTATTTAGCCAGTATAGCTGATGATATGGTCAGTTAATGAGAGAACACTTTCATGGATATGATGGAAGTTTACTACAGCAAAACTTCAGTCACTGTAGTAAGCCCAACAGGATTTGTCTCTTAGCTAAGAGAAATGTCAGAGGGATTTTATGCAACACCCTTAATGAATCCTCTTTGGAAAGGGAAAACCTTCCCTTAAGGTCCATACCTCAAGGAAAAACGTATGATGTTTTACGCTACCAGGCACAGACCACCATGAAGGATGTGGGTCTACATGTGAGGAGACAGGAGAGGGTGGACACTGTGACATCACTTTAGATTAGGGCCTGAAAAAGTAACGTAAAAAAAAACTAAAAAAATCAAAAATAGAAATTGTGCAGGGTTTTCTCATTAATCTACACCGATCAGACATAACATTATGACCACCTCCTATCATCAGCTCCTCTTACCATATAGGTGCATTTTGTAGTTCTACAATTACAGACTATAGTCCATCTGTTTCTCTGCATACTTTGTTAGCCCCCTTTTACCCTGTTCTTCAGTGGTCAGGACCCCCATGGACCCTCACAGAGCAGGTACTATTTGGGTGGTGGATCATTCTCAGCACTGCAGTGACACTGATGTGGTGGTGGTGTGTTAGTGCATGTTGCGCTGGTACGAGTGGATCAGACACAGCAGCTGCTGGAGTTTTTAAACACTGTGTCCACTCACTGTCCACTCTATTAGACACTCCTACCTTGTCATTCCACCTTGTAGATGTCAAGAGAAGTCAGAGACGATAGCTCACCTGCTGCTGCACAGTTTGTGTTGGTCATCCTCTAGTCCTTCATCAGTGGTCACAGGACGCTGCCCACAGGACACTGTTGGCTGGATATTTTTGGTTGGTGGACTATTCTTGGTCCAGCAGTGACACTGAGGTGTTTAAAATCTCCAACAGCACTGCTGTGTCTGATCCACTCGTACCAGCGCAACACACACTAACACAACACCACCACATCAGTGTTACTGAAGTGCTGAGAATGATCCACCACCCAAATAGTACCTGCTCTGTGAGGGTCCATGGGGGTCCTGACCACTGAAGAATAGGGTAAAAGGGGGCTAACAAAGTATGCAGAGAAACAGATGGACTACAGTCTGTAATTGTAGAACTACAAAGTGCACCTATATAGTAAGTGGAGCTGATAAAATGGACAATGAGTGTAGAAACAAGGAGGTGGTCATAATGTTATGCCTGATGGGTGTATGCGGAACATTAACACCACCAACGTGATTTACACAAGTGTAGATGTAGTTAAATTTAACTCAGCAGGCATTAACATAACACCACAGCTGTTTCTGCATACAGACTGCTGTACCATGTCTATAACAAAGCAATGATTTTATTAAATATTAACTCCGCACTACTGCACAAGAATCTTCCTCAAAAGGAAGTCGAGGAAGAACTGCATCTGTACCCCCCCCCGCAAAAACATAAGTCCCAGGAAAAAAAACAACCATCTCAGGAGCTCCAATTCAGCTTCAGTGCTCCTTTCAGCCCCCTAGCTACTCCGCTAATAGCGCTTCAGATGGGGCAAAGATGGAAAAAATAACAGAATAATTACTCACTCACTTTAGATGCAGTTTTGCATGAAATTGTCTTGACGTTCTCCGCTTTGCAGAGTGTTGCAGAGTTAATAGCGAGATTATTATGAACCGTTTACTCAGCTGATGAGAGCATAACATGGAGCCGGTTCAGTTACTGAGTGTTAGAAAATGGCTGCTGTGGGGGACAATTCATAATCTCATGATATACAGCACTGTGAAAAATTCAGAGTCCAATCAAAAAGGCCATAATGGCCATTAAGTGTAAGTACAGGCATCAGGAGAAAAGCAGAAAACTTCAGTTACACAGAAACTTACACAGAAGCCTCAGTAACTAAATATTATCTCACACTTTTTATATCACACTTTGTCCATCTCTTACCTTTATTACAATGTCCATTCCTATCAGGAGACTTGCTTTGAGTTTTCCAACAAAATCTGCAGTGATATTTTTTCCATATCTCCAAAGTTCAGTCTTAGAAGTTGGTTGTTCGTTCTGTTGCTCACAATCCAATTAATCACAATTTTCAAAAAGTCTCATAAAAAGTTCATAAAACTTTTCCCCACATCTTGGTTGTCCAGTTTTGTTGTTTCAAATCTGCACATTATTTTTTTTTTGTTTTTTCTTAGCTGTTCTCTTCTCTCACTTCTGGCTTCTTCACAGCTATACATCTTTTCAGACTCATAGTGTTGAGTGGTCTTCTCTTCTCTGGACAGAAACACCGGTGGATGTTTTCAGATCTGATGCAAGAGTGGAGCTTGATTTACTCCTCTCTCTCAAAGATAAAAGGCCTCAGTAGCAGTTCTGGTGGTCTACCAGGTCTTGCACTATTGTTAGGGGTTCCATTTTCTCTGCATTTTTCATTTGATGAAGTACATTTTTTTAAACCCCTGCTTTTTCACTTATTTTAGAAATTTGCAAGGTGAGATGGGGACATCCTTGTGTCAATGTTAGCATCCCTTTGAAGGTGAACATGTCAGTGAGAGCTTTCTTGGGAGGACACAGCTGTAACTGGCTGGTTTTAAGATTAGAATTATGGAAGAGTTAAAGTGGTAGTAGCTGCATAAAAGTAAGGAGCGAACAAATTAAATACCAGGAGATTTAATATTATATGTAGTGTCAGAAGGTTCTGTATACATTTCTGTTAAATATATGTTTTATGCTTTTTCCTGGATGCTGAAAAATGAATAACTTGTACTTTTGTTTCAATTTAATTGAAATGATTAGATGGACTGAACAGATAGGTGGATGGATGGATAGTTATATAGCAAAATAGGTAAATAGATGGATTCACTCCTAAATATAAAAGGTTCCTATGAAGACCCATTCATGTTTTTGAACCTTTATTTTTAGGACAGAATAGACTGAAAGATGAATGGATGGAGAAATGGACAAAATGGCTCACACTCATGGTTGATCATGGGTCCTTGGGATTTGGGTTAAAATAAAATGATGTTCAGATTGGGGTGGACGGTTGTGGTATAAACATATATAAAACATATATAATAAAGGTCTAGATGCTAAATATGGCAGTGTTTTTTTTGGTCACACCCGGGTTGTTATATTTGCAACTCGTCTACTTTATTGACTTTGTTGGGTAGGCTACATTCAGAAATAAAACTGCAGGTAAAACGCAACATTGACCTCCACTAGTGGACACAGGGGAAAGAGCTGATGACGAAAGAATGGTGAAACAGAGTAACAGACAAACACGGAGAAAGGTGTGTCAGTTCTTACCGTTGGCACAGCCTTTGAGTCGGGCTCCTCTGACTGGAGCTCTCTGCAGATCTGCCTTCACCCGAGCCTTCAGGCCTCCGTTCTCTTTCTGCATGGAGTTCAAAGCATCGCTTACTGAGTTCACTACCTTCACCATGTTAATCTGGCTCTCGGACAGCAGCTGGAAAACACACACATATAGCACTACTGTTACTAGGGATGAACCAATATGGAATTGTTTGCCGAAACTTATAACAATAATTTGACATTTTATGTTAAAACTAGTTTTCACTATAATCCATATATGAAGTTGGTGTCACAAAGAGTTCTTTGAGAACCACTTTTGTTTCCCTAAAAACACATTTTAAAACAATTTGTAGGTGTGGAGATAAGTTTAAAAAAGGTTCTGCACACTCTCCCATCTCATTTACAACAATAGTGAAAAGATATTAAGGGAACTAAAAGTGGTTCTTCTATGGGGTTACACAAAGAACACTTTTTGACTCCTTTATTTTTAAGAATGTACTGGGACAAATTAGTACCATGGACAACTACAACTTTACTGATACTGGGTCCACTATCAATCTCATGGACAGCAGGACACAAGTCAGCGCCACAGAAACCTGGTTAGATAACAGCACCATGGACAGCAACAAAATTCCAACACTCTTGATATTGGGACAACTATCAGCACCATGGACAGCAACATCACTTCATCAGTACTGATACCAGGATGAATACCAGCTCTGCGGACATGTATAAAGACACCTCTAGCTATATGAGAAACATTCCTTCTGTAAGATCAATGCAGCACCCTGGAGAGCCCTGGTCAAACCATGGACAGTCGATAGCAGCAGAAATATTAGCATCCTGGGAAAATATTGTTCAGGTAATGATCAATATGACTACAACACATTTCCCATGGTGCGGCACGGGTCATGTTCGAGTAATGGTCAATATTTGCTGTCATGTCATAATAGTATCACTTCAGCACCATGGACAGCAGTGTTCAAAAGCCTACATACACTAGCTATAGTGTTCTTCTGTGAGCATGAGTCAAATTAAGCCTACACACACACACACACATGGTGGTGGCATTCCCCCGTGTAAACCTGGGATATGACCCACTTTAAAGAGAAAATGTGCTTATGTGTGTGTGAGTGTGAGTGAGTGTGAGTGTGTGTGTGTGTGTGTGTGTGTGTGTGTGAGTGTGAGTGAGTGTGAGTGTGTGTGTGTGTGTGTGTGTGTGTGTGTGTTACTCAGTATAATGAATGAGCTGCCTCTTTTGGTCTCAAATTGGAGTTAAACTTAGTGATTTTAAAAGGACCTTTACACCTGTGCAATGAAAAACTAGGATGAAGTTAAGCTTGAAATATTTGTTTGAACCCGACGGGACCCAGTGGATTACGTTGGGTTCGGACATTGTTTTCCAAAACTTTCCCCACTCATGTTGTTGACAGAATTTAACAGTTGACGAGGCCCACGTAAAAAAAAATGGAGGTGAGGGGGACAGTGCAGTGCAGTCAAAAGAACAATATTTCATTGTTTTTCTGGCTATATATAAATGTGTGTTTATATATATATCATTTATCATGAATGATATGGCAATATGTCAATTCATCATGAAATTTACAGACAATGTAAAGGACAATAGGCTTTTTCAAACTATGACAAAAACTACATATATATATACATATGTATGTGTAGTTTTTGTCATAGTTTGAAAAAGCCTATTGTCCTTTACATTGTCTGTAAATTTCATGATGAATTGACTAAAAGAAACAGCTCTAAATGACTTGTAAATAAGTCTAATTCCATTGACTTACAGTAAATAAAAGCATGTGTTTTCCTTCTCCTGCAAAGTTTTCATTTTGGAGATACGAGGTTTGGAGATTGTTTTATTCCATCATTACATCATCTAATTTTGTATTTTATTTATTCATGATCTAAAGATGGGTTTATTGCCACAGCACAATAAGTTGACCAGTTTTGGACTCAAAACTTGATGATGCAGTTTGGACAAAACATTGTTGGGTCAGATTTGGACTGAAAAGTTGATAATGTGGTTGGGTCAGGTCAGATTCAGACAATAATTTCTCTGGCAGTTTTCAGGTTCAGACCAAAAATTCAGACCTGATTAAAACTCTAGGATGAAGGACCCTACAAGTCCGCACACACCCACACACAGATACAGACACACAATCTGTCAAGTTGATTAGTTGACGGACTAATGACTGGCGGTTCAATAAGGATCATAATGCAATTAGCGTCAGCAATCCGTCACCATCTCAAGACAGGAAGACAGCACTGGGGTGAGTTCACTAATCATGTGTGTGAGTTTGGGGGAGGGTGGCATATGGAGTGGGGAACCCACGTTAGGCCTTCTAAGGCCTAATGATTTCTTTGAACTAAAAGAAATACATGTTGGTAATTGTTAGTTAATTTTCATTTCATGCTTTAAACACTGCAAGCATTGTACCAACATTCTAATTTCATTGTTAAGTTTTGGTTAATTTCTGAATCTGCCAAAAAAGTACTGGAAATTATCAAATCAGAATTTTCTTCTCTGTTGTATCTAGGTGTATATAGCCAAGCAGGCTCTCCCATTAAGAGCTGAACTGCAATGCTAAAATATTAGATTAACGACTAACATAATTAGGATGTGACAGTAAAATCAACCAGTGATGTTTGGATTTCCAATAACTCTAGGCCTTCTCGTCCCAGACACATTACTGTTTGCAAATACATGTGTTAGCCTGACCAGTGCTTTTCAGTCAGCAGTCACTATGTCAGGGCTCTTTATGGAAGGAGTCACTGTAAACCCTCTACATACAAAGTACAGTGTGTTAATGTGTCTGTTATAAGTTTCAAATAAAACATGAAACGTCTTTTAGAAGCATCCAATGTCTGTATTTAATCTAGAACAGCCCAAAACTGTTCATGTGAATTGAGGTTAGCTTAGCGCTAACATACAATTATAATACCATAGAGGTGCTAGCGGAAATTAGCTCTATCATACAGGTGTTACTTTTTTTTCATTTCTGACCATTTTTTGCCATTAATGGTCTAAAATGAAAGCCTAGCACTAAGGGTCATGGCTTCCCACTGGGTGTCTGTGTGCACAAATGTATGCATGTCTACTTGCATTTGGTACAGAGCTCAAACTACATGGTTTGTGAGGTCAGTTACAAAATGGTTCCAAACTGTAACTATGGTTGAAAAAAAAGGCAACTTTATAGAAGGAAAAATAAATATTCTTAATTTCAATTTATGTTTAACAATACTTTATTTCAGGTAGATTTAGACCATTTCTATTGGTCTATTCATTATGAATTATTCACACAACATAAGGAACAACTGCTGTTTCATAACAAAATTATGAGATTTGGCTATGACAGAAGCAGAATGATACATATGTGCTCCAGCATTGTAGGCTGTGTGTGTGAGTGTGTGTAGATGGAGGTGTGCATGTGTTTGTCAGTCTGTATGTGTAGGTGGTGTGCGTATGTGTATATGAGTGCACTTTAAAAAATTGGAACAGGGCAGAGGTTGATTTGAAGTGTTTGTGAGATCTGTACTGACTTTTTTCCCCATCTAAAGTGTTGTTTTGCTTTGCTTTATATTAATAGAAGAATTTATTTGAATTAAACCAGTTTAACCCATTTGTGGACTCTTAAGTTCCTCACTCTCATAATTACTTAATTTCGAGATTAGTTTTGTAACTGATAAGATGCATATGTGGCTTTTTACACTCAGTGAGATCAGGTTATATCAAGAATTCCATTTAACCAAATGAGAAATTGAAGCACCTTTTGTTTAGAGTTTCTTCATAATGTTGAGCTTTCAATTTGAAATGTTATGCTGATAACCCAAACTGTGCTGCTGGAACTAGACAAAGATGACTACTATGCTAATGATAGTCTGCCTACAAGACAAAAACTACACACAAATGAGTCAGTTATGCCGCGTTCAACTCTGAAGTGGGAAATCAGAGCTTGAAATTTGAGTTTTGAGCTCCACTTTCTCAAGAAAGTGAGTGTTGTTAGCAATAAGCTAGTCAGCTAATGTTAACAATACGAGTAATAACTTTAACATGCATACATTTACCTCCTCAAACCAGCCAACGCTATAGATTTAACCAACTACTGTGCCTGCAATTTGACTGATCTGAAGCTAATGCTACTATCATATAAAAGTAGAGCAGTGGTTCTCTACCACTCTTGCAGTGTGAGCAGCCACGTTGCTATGACATCTAATGCCAAACTCTACGCAAAAACTGCGAAGCCCCACCGACTAACTGCTTGCTCAAGAGACACAAAAGCATACCGAGGCATATTTTGTACTGCACCTTTTCGCATACATAAATCTGGAGTTTAAACAGTGTTAATGTTCTTTCAGCAAATGATCAAGGCTCATGTCTCCATCCAGCCACTGTACCTGCTGCCACCGTTAAAGGTACACCCTCAAATGCATATGCATAAGGAAGAGGAGCGCATTTTGAGTTTTTCCATGTACTGAAAGTGCACATTTAGGCTCGTGCGGCATAAGACATTAAAAGATTGCATCCAATTTGCTCCTGAAAATGGCACAAAGGTCTTAGTAGATCAGGCTCTCAGAGTCATCGGGTGTTTTCCTTCATTTTTCCAATTTGTAGTTTGGAAATTCTGAGTTATGAGCTTTGGTCAAACACAGTGTTAGTAGAACATGATTTATATTAGTGATATTCAGTGTTATTTAAGCCTGGGGTTCAATGATGTTAAACTGTGTGAGAATGTGTAAGTGCTGTGTGCAGGGACAGTGGAAGTGGGGGTCCTGAGGGTCCTGCAGCACCTCCAGATTTCAGGACTGGAACAGCTAAAAAAAAAAAAAATAAAAAATAATAATAATAATAAATTTGAAACTTTATAATACTTTAAATGTAGTAAAGACCCACATGTGCTTGTTTTAAATCTTTATTTTTATCTTCATATTTTATTTATATATTTTTAAAACCTGCAGTAACCATGAATTTTTACCTTAATGATGTATTTTTGTTACAGTGAACTAAATCCTGTCCCTTGCCAACTGTTGGTTGCTTTTGTGATGTGTCACCAAATCACTCACAGGTAGGGAAAGAGGGAAAGAGTGCCTAGTTATAGGCCAGTTCTGTGACCCATAGCAGCCCATTAGTATACTTTCTAT